CACGCGCGGAGGCGAGGGGCGGGGGCGGGGGCGGGGCCAGGGCGGCCACGCCCGCCGAGGGGGCAGGTCGCTGGGGAGGGGTCTCCCTGCGCGCGCCCCCGCCGCCCCGAGCCGCGGCGCTAGCAACGCCCTTCGGTGCGGGCTTTGTAGGTCTGGTGGCCGCCGCCGGCGGGCTCCGCGGTCGCTGGGAGGGACTGTGACTGTGGCCGCCGCTGTCGGGGTTGAACCTCGGGCTGAACTTGACTCACCAAGACAGGTTCGCAGCCTGGCGCCCGAGCCGGGAGGCCATGTGTTCAACACTGGAAGGACTGGGGTTAGGAGTTGGTCGAATGGGAGGCAGGCCAATGAGGATACGTGGAGGAAGCGGGGAAGGTGAGAGGGACTGCCTGCCCCCCCCCCACCCACCCACCCAGGGTACCAGTCTTCCTGAAATCCAGGTGGGCCAGGCGGAGAGGTCTACACTCACATACTCAATCAACAAACAGCAGGAGGCCGCCACGTTCTATGCAATGAGCCGGGTACCTACAAAGATCATCTGGACTCCAGCCTGCTCTCCAGGCAAGCAGGCTCCATCCAAGCTGTCGACGTGGAGCCTGACGCAGGGCTCCATCCCATGAACCGTTGTCAGATGCGTAAGCAGCTGAGCCACCCAGGTGCCCCCTGAGTAACTTTTTTAAATGCTTGGGCCCAGGCCACCCTAGCTTTGGAAAATCACTGTTGAGCCATAGTCTGCCTGTAAGCTGTCTAACCTTGAAACCCCTCAGTCTGGCCTCTGGCCACGGGCAAGCTGACAAATCCAGATTGCTTATAATGCTCCATCGATTGCAAATTCACAAACCCTTGCTTGGCTAAAAACATGAGGGGGAAAAAAAAAAAAAAAAAACTTGACCACAGTCCCCACTAAGAGTCCCTTAAAGCATAACTACCAAATTTGATGTGGGCAACAGTCACTAAAAGTAACTGACCTAATCAGCTAAAAGGGCCTCACATTCCTTGTATGGGGGAACGTGTGACTATTTGCAGACTGACCTCAAGTTTCATATCTGATGATAAGGCCCAGCTCAAGTGAGGACAACAGGTCCGGAGCCTTCTTGCAACTCCCGAGTCTTCCAGGGTGCCTTGTGAGCAACCTATAATCCAGTTTGGGCTTGGAGAAATCTCAGCCTACTCAGTGTCCCATACACCCTACTCCAAGTGACTTGCTCAGCACAGAGCCCGACGTGGGGCTCGAACCCACAAATGCAAGACCATGACCTGAGCTGAAGTCAGACATTTAACCAACTGAGCCACCCAGGCGCCCCCAGATCTGGCTTCTTGTACACCAGGAGCTGCTTCCTCTTGTCCGCCCTGCCTGAGTCAGGAGACAGGTGTATCCTTGTAGGCCCAGCTACAAATAGCATCTCAACAAAAGGTTCTCTGGTGGAAACCCACCGCCAGTCTGTATAGAATTGACTGCTGGAACTCCTATCTCCAAACCCTTACTAAAGACGGAACTTCGACAGTACCTAACACTCTGACACCTTCAGGCTTCTTTCCCCATCTGTGATTGGAGTCTGAATCCAGTAGCTGGAATCTGGGACTTGAGAAGGTTAAAAGTACTTAGTGGCTCGCTTTGTGGGCTCTCTATTCCTCCTATTCAAACCACCTCAAGCCATTTTCTCGCCGTGTGCCCTTGGGCCATTTACTTAACCTCTCTGGGTTTCATTTTCCTCATCGTTAGAAGATGTTGGTAGCATTTGTATCCTAGTTATTAAGAGAATTAAATAAGTAAAAATGTAAACAATGTTAAGGAATACCTAGCGTATTAAGTATTCAGATGTTGGCAATTATTATCCATCTAGTCCAATGGTCCTGGTTGTTTATTATCTAACACTTCCTTTTGAACTAAGATTTCCAAGGCAATATTAAGTGTATCTTTGGGATGCCAAAAATTTTTTAAAAACACCGTCTGGGTTTCTGTTTTCTCACAAGATCTCGAAGGGAAGATGACTTTCTCCTTCATCTATTTCCATCCCTTTGCCTTCCTCCTCCCTGATGTATTACTGTCTTGAACTTTTATTTGAATCTTTGATTATTTACCTTCTTTTCACAATAAGTCTTATTTCACTGAGCAGACTCTTCGTAACCCAGCGGAGGGACAGCACGTGTGTTTTAATTTCTAGCTCTACCTCTTAAAGGCTAACACTGAGTCTTGCAAAAAGCAGGCATTTGGCACTTTCTGAATTCATTTTGCAATATGAGCAGGTTTGAGCCCCTGCTCGTGTTCAGATTTTCCATACTGCCAAGTTACTCCATAAACACGTGGGTTAGAACATCTGGATTAGGCTATAAACTCCTAAAACCAGGCCACGGGCGCCTGGGTGGCTCAGTCGGTCGAGCATCCGACTTCGGCTCAGGTCATGATCTCGCGGTTTGTGAGTTCGACCCCCGCGTCGGGCTCTGTGCTGACAGCTCAGAGCCTGGAGCCTGCTTCGGATTCTGTGTCTCCCTCTCTCTCTCTGGCCCTTCCCTTTTCTCTCTCTCTGTCTCTCTCTCTCAAAAATAAATAAACATTAAAAATTTAAAAAAATAATAAATTCCGAAAAGCAGGCTTTAGTCTGTCTTTTTCTTAGCTTCTATTGACACTGTGCACTTAATTGATAGCTGTGGCCTGGCAAGTATTTCTTTTCTACCCAAGACAGTCTTACGTGCCTTTCCATCATCAGCCTATGGATGGCAGAGAAATACAGGGTTTCAGTTTCTTAAAAAGTTAAACATAAATTTGTCATATGACCCAGCAATTCCACCCTAGGTATCTACGTAAGAGAAATCAAAACGAACAGCTACACAAAAACTTGCAGAGAAGGAAGGGCGCCTGGGTGGCTCGGTCGGTTGATCGTCCTCCTTCCTTCAGCTCCTGTAAAGACCTCACCATTTGTGAGTTCGAGCCCCATGTCGGGCTCTGTGCTGACAGCTCAGAGCCTGGAGCCTGCTTTGGATTCTGTGTCTCCCTGTCTCTCTGCCCCTCCCCCCAGCTCACACTCTTTCTCTCTCTCTCTCTCAAAAATAAATTTAAAAAGATATTTAAAAGCAAAAACCTTGTGGAGAGGAGCACCTGGGTGTCTCAGTCGGTTAAGTGTCTGACTCTTGACCTCGGCTCAGGTCACGATCTCACAGTTGGTGAGATGATGCCCCACGAGGAGCCTGCTTGGGATTCCTTCTCTCTTTCCATCTCTCTCACTGCCCCTCCCCCACTCATTCTCCCTAAACAAATAAATAAATAAATAAGAAACCAGATACAAAAGGCTGCATGTTGTATGATTGCATGTATGAGAAAACTCCAGAAAGGGCAAATCGATAAGAGGCGGTTAATAGATTAGTGGTTGCCTGGGGCTGGGGTGGGAATAGGGAATAAATAAATGGGCACGAGGTTTCTTTTTGGGGTGATGACAATGTTCTAAAACTTAATTGTGGTCATGGTTGCACAACTCAGGAAATCATTGAGCTGTACACTTAAAACAAGTAGAAGTTTTGGTATGTAAATTATACTTCAGTAAAGCTGTTACATAAACCAAAACGTAAACAAGAATATATAAAAGCCTCATTCATTCCACAAGGGTCCCCGCCTCCCTTTCCTTGCTAGTTTATTCAACAGCAACTTGAACAACCGAATGGTTAAGACGAGGAAATGGACAGTGTGCTGGGCTCGGGGCTAGAGAGATATATGTGGCGATATAAATAGAGAATTCCTGTAGGTCAGTAAGAAAAATATGGGTGACTCCATAGAAGAAAAAGGCAAAAGACATTTCGCTGAAAACAAAGATAACCCAAATGGCCAATAACACATCAAAAGCTGCTTAACCTCATTAACCGTCAGGAACAGCAAATTGAAATCCTAACGAGGTCCAAAGCGTCTGGCTTTGGCTCAGGTCGTGATCTCACAGTTTGTGAGTTCGAGCCCTGCGTTGGGGTCTGTGCTGATAGCTCAGAGCCTGCTTCGGAGTCTGTGTCTCCCTCTCTGTCTCTGCTCCTCCCCAGCTCACACTCTGTCTGTCTCTCAAAAATAAACAAACATTAAAAGAAAAGGAAAAGAAAATGCCACATACTGATAAGGACGGGTACACCTGGAGCTCTCCTCCACTGCTGGCTGGAGCCCTTTGGAACATGTGATATTTATTTAGCACACGTGACTCATCAATTCTCCTTGTAGGTATGCGCCCAACTGAGATGGTTCACATGTTCACCAAAAGACCTACGCGATGTTTGTAGACGCAATATTCATAACAGCGCAAAGCTGAAAACAGCCCAACGTCCATCAACAGTAGAGCGGATAAGGGGTGCCTGACTTGTTCCGTTGCGAGAGCTCGTAACTCTTGATCTCAGGGTTGTGAGTTCGAGCCCCACGTTGGGTGTAGAGATTACGTAAAAATTAAATCTTAAAAAAAACAGAGTGGATAAATGAGGACGTGTGGGGGAAAACTCTAC